TGTTCATGTTTGTACGTGCATGTATGCAGAGGTGGGGAGGGCTCAGAATGTTTTGGTAGGATTATGTATTTAGGGGTAACTTTTTTTTTTTTTTTTTTTTCTTTACATTAAAATTTATTTTTTATCACATCAGGGACCAAAAAATCCCTATGTGATAATATTTTTTGTGGCAGGTTCTCTATTAGACCCCGGGGGGTTTATTTACCAAACCTGGTTTACTCAGAATCTTGGGCACCTGTGCATGGTAGCCAATCAGCTTCTAACCTCAGCATGTTCAGTTAAGCTTCAGAAATAAAACCTGGAAGCTGATTGGTTTTTATGCAGAAGTGGACAAGATTCTGAGTCAACCAGGTTTAGTAAATAAACCCCCTGATGTCTCAGCTGTCTTCTATTGAAGCAAAGGGAGTGCAGATTGCACTCCATTAGCTTCTACCCTAGCCACCGTGGACAGGGAAAGTGACAGCAGAAACCAGAAGTGATGTTTTTTTACGTGTTGCTTCCAAGTTTTTACAAGACTGGGGAGATTTATTCATTACAGGTACTTATATAGTACCATCAATTTACGCAGCGCTTTATATACAGTCTATATTGTACATTCACATCAGTCCCTGTCCCCAAGGAACGTACAATTTAAGGTCTCTAACTCACATTCATACATACTCATACTAGGACCAATTTAGACAGCAGCCAATTAACCTACCACCATTTCTTTGGAATGTGGAAGGAAACCGAAGTACCTGGAGGAAACCCACGCAGGCACAGGGAAAATATGCAAACATTTGGTGCCGTGGTTGGGATTAAATGCTAGACATAAGTGTTAATCATTTAGCCACTGTGCTGCCCAGTGAACGAATGCAGTCCTGGGTCCTCAAATGGAAGCACAGAGTATGTGGAAGTGATTGAGCAGCCTGCCCACTTGCTTCCATCTCACAGTAGACAGTCAGTTTGTCAGATTTACACACATTGTGTGTACAGGGAAGTCTAACCTGACCAGACATGTTAAAGACCAACTCCAGCCAAATTAGGAACAGGTGTGGGGGTGTGGGGGCAGCATGGTAGGGCGATAGTAAAGACACAGAGTCCAGTTGCAAATAAACTCAAAACTTGTATTGCAGAAATTGTCAACTACAAAGAAACCCTGTGGGAGAGTTCAGTTCTTAGCAGTCCAGTTCTTGGAAGAGAGTCAGCGGGTAAAATGCACCAACAGCGTTTGTCTTCAGAGTGTGGAATGCGGCCTGACTGGCAAAGGGGAGGCCACCATGTAGTCCCTAGCCTGTCCTTACTTATCTGGAATCTTTCCTGCCACTATCACTTTTCTCTGACTGGCAGGTACTCTTTCCCTGTGCTAGCCACTGTGCAAAATGTGCACCAAAACCTGGGGGCAGGGACTTATAAAGACTTGACTGACCCAAGATGGCTACCAGAGGTCACCTGGATGTACTATAAGCCACCCAGAATGCTTCCTCCAGGAACCGGGAAACCATAGAGAAACTAGGTTTCTCCTGACTTCCTCTCCAGTCTGTGACACTGCTCTTGTTGAGCGCACCTAGAGTAGAGAAAGCAGCCTGCATCTGCCTACACGGGGAAGGGATACATTTACTATTAGGTTTTTATTACAGTCTTTCTCCCTTTCGGTGAGATTTCCTCCTATTTCCTGTCCAGACAGGAATCAAACACTTTTTTTTATTCAAATGGTGAATGACTAAAACATCAGTCAGGTTATTATAAAAATCTGTGTCTTCATGTCCCAGTGAAAACCTCTCCCTTCCTTCGTGCTGCTTTCACAAACTATCAAAAACTCAGGAAATTAGTTAAAATCTCAGCAACAGAAATAAAAAAAAAACTTGACAGGAGTATATGCTTTCCCAAAGTCTATCAAAACTATGGAAACAAGTTTTGGCTGGAGTTATCTTTGCCTATCATTATTACAAATAAAAAATTTGGCTCCATTAATGAAATGCAGATGTTCTTAGGGGCCTTCACATATCTGTCAATGGTTTCCAGGCCACCCAGGGCAGTTTATGTGCAAGTACTAGTGGCAGGAACTCTTTTTTATTATTATTATTATACAGTATTTATATGGCGCCAACAGTTTGCTCAGCACTTTACAATATAACGGGAGACAATACAGCAACAATACAGTTCAATACAAGAGGGATAGGAGGGCCCTGTTCCTTGGAGCTTACAATCTAGGAGGGAGGGGCTAGTGGTACAAAAGGAAGTAAACTGTGGGGGATGGACTGGTTGGAAGAGTAGAAGATTCCATTATTAGCTGAGGGCAGGATAGGCTTCCCCGAAGAGATAGGTTTTCAGAGATCACCTAAAAGTGAGCAGAGTTGGCAATAGTCTGATAAATTGGGGTAGAGAGTTCCAGAGGCTGGGGGAAGCTCTAGAGAAGTCCTGGAGATGAGCATGGAAGGAGGAGACAAGGGAGCTAGAGAGTAGGAAGTCTTGCAAGGAGTGGAAAGTACGGTTTGGGTGGTATTTGGAGACAAGATTGGTGATGTAATTTGGGGCAGTTATGAATGGCTTTACATTGTTAATGTTTTGAATTTTATCCGTTGGGCAATGGGAAGCCAGTGGAGGGATTGGCCGGGAGGGATGGAGGACACTGAGTGGAGGCCAGTGGAGGGATTGGCAGAGAGGGATGGAGGACACTGAATGGAGGCCAGTTGAGGGATTGGCAGAGAGGAGTGGCAGATACAGAACAGTTAGTAAGGTGGATGAGTCTGGCAGCAGCATTCATGATAGACTGAAGAGGGGATAGCCTGCGATTAGGTCGGCCAATGAGGAGGGAGTTACAATAGTCAAGGCGAGATATAACCAGGGAATAAGTTGCTTAGTGGTTACTGAGGTTAGGAACGGGCGTATCTTGGAGATGTTGCGGAGGTGAAGTCTACTAGATTTGGACAGCGATTGGATTTGGGACTGAAAGGACAGATGGGAGTCTAGGATTACACCTAGCACCCTGGCATTAGGGGAGGGACTGATGATTGTGTTATTGATCTTGATGGAGAAGTCAGGGGAGGGGGCACGGGCTGGGGGGAATACTAGGAGCTCAGTTTTGGAAAGATTGAGTTTGAGGAAGTGGAGTGACATCCATGCCAATATGTCACTTAGTAGGTTAGTAATGTGAGTGGAGACTGAAGGAGTGAGGTGAGGGGTAGACAGATAGATTTGCGTGTCATCAGCATAGAGATGGTACTTAAAGCCATGGGAGTTTATCAAGTGACCAAGGGAGGAGGTGTAGATGGAGAAGAGAAGGGGTCCAAGGACAGAACCTTGAGGGACCCCTACAGAAAGAGGGAGTGAAGAGGAGGAGCCAGAGTTATAGGTAACGCTGAAAGAGCGCTGCAATAGGTAGTAGGAGAACCAGGAGAGAGCAGAATCTCTGAGGCCAAGAGAGTGAAGTTTTTTGAGGAGGAGGGGATGGTCAACATTATCAAAAGCCGCAGAGAGGCCAAGTAGTAAGAGTACGGAGTAGTGGCCATTGGCTTTAGCAGTCAGTAGATCATTAGTGAGTTTTAGTAGGCAGTTTCAGTGAAGTGTAGTGAGCGAAAGCCAGACTGTAAAGGGTCAAGAAGGTTGTTGTCAGTGAGGTAGGAGAGCAGGCGATTGTATACTAAGCGTTCTAAGAGTTTAGAGGTAAATGGCAGCAGGGAGATGGGTCTTAAGTTGTTCAGGTTGGTGGTGTCCAATTAGGGCTTTTTGTATTTGCAATGAATATAAAAACGTTCTGTGTTCCGTGATATACGATAAAGAAATATATGCTTGAGTGCCTAAGTATGAGCTCTTGCCCAGCTATCAGCAATTTAGTAGATTTTTTTTCCAGGTTTTATTAAAAGGCAGAAGCAAAAAGATGGGTGGAACTTTGAGTCCCCCTCATTTCCTGGCCCTCACAATTGATCAGCAAGACTCTCCGTCACAGTGATATAGAAATTGTTAGGTTTGGACAGTGGATGCCTGCTCAACTGAAGCTCCTGAAGCTAATATTTGGATCAAAACAAGTCTGAAGGGGACTTTCCCAATAAAACAGGCGTACATTAAAAAACTAACTTTAGGTTCAATCCTCTGTTGCCAGAAGAAAAAATACTTTACTGAGCAAAGCAAAAAAATGTTCTTCTTGAGGAGCCAGTTTTTACTGATAATCCAATGACTGGTGGGATAATGATGAAGAAGTGGGAGAGGTGGAAGAAGCACATATCTACAGGAATGAAGTAGAAGCAGGGAGATCCTTGTACTGCAGGTCCTCAGGTACAGCTTCCTCTTCAGCAAGGAGAACAGTGAGCAGCACAGTAATGCCATCAAAAAATCTCACTGCAAATCTGGGGAGCCTAGCAGTCAGGGGCAGCATTGCCCTTTGCCAGGGGTCTTCAAACTTTCTGAACAAAGGGCCAGTTTTCTGCCTTTCAGACTTTAGGTCTGTGGCCATTGGGAGTAGAAAAGGTGCAAGTGTAAGTGGGAAAAAACACTGATATCATCTTTGGTGTCGATGAGAGGAATTGTGCCCCAGCATTGGTGTCATTGGGCCCCATTGTTGGTGTCATTGGGAGAAATTGTGTCCCATCGGTGGTCTCCTTGGAAGAAATTGTGCCCCTTCATTGGTGTCTTTGGGGGAATTGTGCTCCATTGTTGAAATCAGTGTCAACAGGACCAGATAAGAGTAAGCGAAGGGCCATATTTGGCTCCCAGGCCACAGTTTGGAGACCACTGCCCTACATGACCTCACACTACAGACTTACAGTTATGAGTCTCAAGGCACAGGAGACTTTCTACTGTTTTTCAGTAGAAATTCAAGACTAAAAAAGGAGATTTTTAAGGATATTATTTAGATGTAATTACATTTCTACTCCCTATAATACAGCAAATCTACATTTTTTCAGGTCACTTTAAAGGGACAGTATTCCTGTAAAGGCACACTGCTGAAAAATGCTTTTGCCATATCTAATTACATTCTATCTCATCTTTTGTATGTATATATATATTTTTTTTTATTTCAGCCTTTCTTCACAATGAAGCTGCCTTGGTGGTTTTTGCTCCATCACCACAAAGAGCCCAGCTGGGAGAAAACATGGTGTTGCCATGTTCCTTCAGAGTGGATGATAATCCAATAAACCTTCAGTACCTCGCCATTTTGTGGCTTTTCCAGGGCAATGAGATTCTAAGGATTGACAACAAGGGAGAATTGTCACAACCAAGAATGTTTATCAATAAACAGGACATCACCAAAGGAATCGCTAATATGGAAATTAAAAATGTCACCATCTCTGACATTGGAAAATATCGGTGTATGGTAATCTACAGTCCACAAAAGGAATCCAGAGACATTGACCTCAGTGTTTATGGCAAGTATTATATACAAACATGTATTACTAAATATTTAAAGGACCTACAAGTAAACATTACAAGGATATCATGGTACTTTGCCTTCAGATATAGGCAGACTCTTGCCTGGTGTGCTTTGTCTATATGACCTACAATTCCATTGGCCTAAATTCATATTATAATATTTAAAAATAGAATAAATATAGCAAAGAAGCGCATTAAGGTGTAAATGTTTAGTGAGCTAATTTTGTGCAGATTTTGGTATACAGGAGCATGATGTAGTATGAGGATAATGTTCAGCTTTATGACAATGGCATGGTTGGTTCTGGGCAATAATTTTTGTGCTGGAAATTTAATCGGAATGATTTTAGAAATTACTACTTTCATTTTTATTGATGTTTTATTTTTCCAACACACACCTTAAAAATGGATCACACCTGAAAAATGAATGCATCACGACCCAAAATGTAGTTGCTCATTCTAACCAAAAACTAACTTATAGGAAATCTATGATTATGGCATACACTTTCATTTATACATCAGCATGGTAATAGCAATACAAACAATAGTTATATTTGAACATCCAATATAAGTTTACTTGAAAAAATGTCTTTCATGTGGTGAATGCTGCCGAACTGCTGGTCACTTCTTTGCAAAACATCCTGGATTCCTTGCATGTTTTGCAGATTCTCCTCTTCTGTTTACGTTCAATATCAAAAAGGACTACATATCCCATGGTCCCTCGATGTCTGCAAGCAGTGATTCCTGTACTGACTGTGCCTCCTGAAACACCTCCTTTCATCACCTCTGTAATAAACAAGGCAGACTCTGTGAATTCTGTGATACAGTGGTGCCTACCAAAAGGGAATAATGAATACATGTCTCAGAATTCAAGGAAGTAAATGTGTGGGGAGTAGGCTAGAAATATTGTAAATTAATAGTTAATTTAAATACTGGCCATAGAAACACTTTAATGTAAATACCTAGCCATGCTATGAACATTCCAAGTGTTTACAGATTCTGAACAAATGAGCTTAAAAACAAATCCCCCCTGACCTCTGTAGCTGAAGATACTGTGAAAAAATGTATCTTCAAAGTTCACAACAGAAATTCTCAAAACTGAACAAAAATGGAGGTAAACTTACTATGGGGCCTAGAAACACATGGGCCACAGTTTAGGCAATCATGTTTCAAAACTTTTTAGCTTTAGGTTATTGAAGCACAAGATTGTCGGTGTCCCTGCCTGCCTCATCTCCATGGCCAAGCAGCAATTATGGCAGGGGGTATTTGTAAGGCTTAGCTGCTTCTTAAAAAAAAGACAACAGCATGGAGAAGCTACAAACCTGAAGTCATAGCTCCAATCTGAATTGTGTGTTCTCTGTAAAGTCCACTGATTTGCACCATTTTGGCAGTTTGGCAGATTAGATTTGACCATTTAAATTCCTTTCTTGTCTGAAAAAGAAGAACTAAAAGGAAATTGTGTCATTAGATTGGAGCTCTGTGTAGATTAGGAACTTCCTTCCTTTTGCCATAATCAGCATATTCCAACTGGGTATCAGATATATATGCAGTTGTGCTAAAAGGTTTGCCTCCCCAGCATAAATCATGAAATTTTGCCATTGACATTGAAAATATGACTGATCATGCCAAAAAAAACTGTCTTTTATTTAAGAAAAGTGATGATATGAAGCCATTTATTATTACATAGCTGTTTGGCTCCTTTTTAAATCATAATAACAGAAATCACCCAAATCACCCTGAGCAAACGTTTCCAATCCCTTGGCCTTGGCGCAGACACACAAGGTGACACACACAGGTTACAATGACAAATTAAAGGTTAATTTTCCACATCTGTGGTTTTTTAAATTGCAATTAGTTTGTTAGCTCTCACGTGGATGCACTGAGGAGGCTAGATACTGAGCTATGGGGAGCAGAAAAGAACTGTCAAAAGACCTGCGTAAAATAAGAAAAAACAGGTTGCGCTAAATGTGTACAAATCAATATGAATCAATCAAAAATTGTGTACAAATAAAGACCAACAAACAAAAAGTCCAAAGTGCTTGTGATATTCAAATTATCAATGGTGTTCAATGTAATATCACCAAGTAAATCCAACACCAAAAAAGGTTAAATAAACTCACCAGAGCAATATGCTGATCATGTTATAAATCAGCATATAGCGCTTGTTGCTCTGGGAGCGCTGGTCTGTATATAGTAGAGGCAACACTTGGAGTTATAGGATCTGATCTCCAGGAAGTGATAATCTGCAGGACTGTGTATCATGTAAATTTCCTTCAGAGATTCGGCCACCAGACTGAATAGGATGATCAGATCGCCACTCGGGAAAGAAAGTAAAGACTCATGGTGCAGTACGTAGTAAAAACATCCAATTTAATAAAAAAAAAATGCACTTACAGCAAACGGTGTCCACGCCGACACCGGCATATACAGCGTGTTCAAATTTAAAACAAGCAACACGGACCCAGGCTGGCTTGCGCATGCGCTGTACCAGTAAACTGGGAGCGTCCTGACGTCACATCCAAAAGCCCGACCTACGCGTTTTGTCATCGACGTCCTCACGGATAAATAATTGTTCAGGATACAAAGAAAAACCAGGCTACTCTAGACAAAGATGATGCGGTTGTTTCAAGGAGCACAATACGACGATACTTTAACAAAAATGAGCTGCATGGTCGAGTTGATGGAAAGAATCCTTTACTGTACTAATGCCACAAAAAAAACCCAGTGAGGTGTGTCAAGGTGTTGTCGGGCATATTGTAACCGACTTGTGGCATTGGAGTAGTAAAGGCTTCTTTCTGGCAACTTGATTAAGGCAAATACCACTTGGCAAAATCAGGAGCAGGACACCACTGACTTTCTTAGCTGTGTGTAAGGGTGGTATTCTGGCCACTGCTGTAAGGGTTGCAGTGTTTCCACTGGCCACTAATGTAAGGGTATTTTCCTTTATACAGAGCATTTTTCTCATTGACCCCAGATAAATCAGATTTTGTAGGAGTTCTCTGGGACCTGAAAATTATTTTAGGGGTTCTTCTGGAGTAAAACGGTTAAGAAAGACTGACTTAGCTTCTTCTTCTCAAATGTGCACATTTTAGTAACCAAGCTTCAACCCACTTTGATGCATTTTAGATGTCCAAAAATGTTGTCTTGCATATCTTTCTGCCTGAACGTGATATTGTTATCTACTCAGCAGATGTGTTCAGTGTGCCATTTCTTATTAATATGCAGAAACTTTGTAGTTTAAACTTTCTGCATTGATTGGTAGCTAACAGTACAAGACTCTGCTACTTCCATAACTAATTAAGGTTTACTGTTGTTTGCAGCAACTCCATCGGTGGTGATTGAGCAGGTGGAGAAGGAGGACAAGATGAACATTGCACTGTGCTCAGTGACTGGTTTCTACCCCAGAGATATCTCAGTGGAAATGCTACAGGACCGCACAATCATAGAGGACTCAGTACTGTCTGAATATCACACAAATGCTGATGGTACTTACTCAGTTAACTGGACATGGAAGATACCAACCGATGTATCGCCAAAAATATTGTCCTGTTCAGTCCATCATGAAACACTCACAACTCCAGTACAAAAAGACCTTCAGTTGATTTATCAAGGTAAGACCCACAAACGATCCTGTACTGTCTATTGTAAACCAACAAGGAATGTTTACTGACAAAACTTAAACTGCAAGCTACACCACAGATAGGAGATTTTTGAATGAGATGTTATCCCTTAACACCCCCTCCTGGTGGCCCTTGAAGTGAACTTTAATAATCAGGAGGTAGCACATCTTCTGTATCATGTAAACACTGCAATTGGCTCTAATGGTGTTCATACCATCAGGAGCTCATCCTGCTGGCTCCCGATCACAAGCCTCAGCCAGTAGATCTAATGGTGTTCATACCATCAGGAGCTCATCCTGCTGGCTCCCGATCAGAAGCCTCAGCCAGTAGATCTAATGGTGTTCATACGATCAGGAGCTCATCCTGCTGGCTCCCGATCAGAAGCCTCAGCCAGTAGATCTAATGGTGTTCATACGATCAGGAGCTCATCCTGCTGGCTCCCAATCTGAAGTCTCAACTGGTAGATCTAATGGTGTTCATATGATCAGGAGCTCATCCTGCTGGCTCCCGATCAGAAGCCTCAGCCAGTAGATCTAATGGTGTTCATACCATCAGGAGCTCATCCTGCTGGCTCCCGATCAGAAGCCTCAACTGGTAGATGTCATTGACAGCTTGGTCAATGTACTGGGAATAAACCAGTGTGACACTTCCTGTAATAAAGACCGGTCACTGCTGCTCTCTCTCCATGTGCAGGGTGACTGGTCTTGTCCCCTTGCCTCCTGTAATTTTCTGCCGGCCACCAGTAGTGGGTGGAGTCTGCTGGGCCAAACCCACAACTCTGATCTCTGCACAAGCTATGTACATCACAGTGATGATGTCACTGCTACTTTACAAGGTAATATTGTTTTTTTAAAGGCATTCAGAGCACACACAGCGGATTTCTGTAATTTAAGACTATTGAGGATTTTATTTATTTAATTTTTTGTGTGTGTCTGGAGTTCATCCTTAAAGCCGAAATGTAATCTGTAATCTGACTATATTTTGTCTTCCCCTGTTCCTACCTTTATCAGTAAGCTATTTAAATGATTGGATAAAGCATCTTTTTTTTCATTTCATACCTTATTTAAAAAACAGTGACATAATCGCTTGGTCTCGTTGCTTCTATATATAATTATTCTTAGAAAATCTGTGTCCATGTGAAAATAACACAAACCCAGTACTCTATCAATATGGGTTGCAGAGGTTGCTGTTGACACTGACCCTATGACCCCTTGACAATTCCAATCAAGAACAGCACAGATCCCCTGCACCCTGTACAGTAAGGATAATCTGTTTAGCTGTCTTAATAGTGTAGTTGTTTTTCCCTAAGAGCTTCTGTTCATCCCAGCCAGCACTGAAATTACCCTGTGGGAAGTGCTGGCTGCATTAGTCTTCTTTTCAGGTAAACAACATTTTCAGGAAGTACAGAACATACCTGTTGATCCTGCTAGAAATGCAGTGTCCTTGTCATTTCCAGTGAGCTGAGCAGATAACAAAACCATCTTTCTTGTGTCAGCTTGTGTTCTCATCAGCCTTAAAGTGATTCTAAAGACATGTCTACACTTACCTGCTCTGTGTAGTGGTTTTGCACAGAGCATCCCAGATCCTCCTCTTCTAGGGTTCCCCGCAGTCTCTCATGGCCCCTCCCTCCTGTTGAGTACCCCCACAGCAAGCAGCTTGCTATGGGGGCACCCGCTGCTCCGTGTATCCATTCATACATGGAGCCGTGGCTCGGCCCCGCCCCCTCTCTCTTCTCATTGGCTCACTGGCTGTGATTGACAGCAGTGGGAGCCAATGGCTCTTCAGTCAATTAGAAGAGGGAGTCCTGAGATAGCCGAGACTCAATTGCACACTGCTGGATCCAGAGGGGACTTAGGTGAGCTTTAGGGGGCTGGGAGAGAATCTGATCACAGAAGGTTTTTTTTATTCATGCATAGAATGTATAAAGGTAAAAAATCTTCAGCCTTTACAGCCACTTTAATGTAATGGAGATGAACATAGGCAGATGTACGAGGCGGTATAAAAAAGTTTGAAGACTAGTTTTGTAACACACCAACAGATGGCAGCACAAGGCTGCACACACAGTCACAGGGAGCACCGACCTTCATAAGTCAATGTGCCAAAAGACATTGTCCTGTGTACATTGGGAGCTGTGCAGCTGGTGCTACTCTGACCACGTGCGTTACCACACCTGCTATTTCATCATGGACAGCAAGTTAGAACAAAGAGCAAACGTGAAATTCTGCGTGAAACTGGGCAAATCACTGGATCTCCACAATGTTGTCAAAATGGCGACCTTTTAGCTTGATCTTCATCTTCGGGAAGAGGGTATTTTTGGGGGTTGAGCTCGTTGAAGGTCTTCCTGATCTCTCGTCATCTTCCGCTCTTGAAGCACGCGTGCTGCTCATAACACCTCAAATGAACCATTGCAGCATCACCATAAGCTTGCCGAATCGTGTCAAACGTCTCTGTGGCAGATCTGCCCAGTTTCAGGCAGAATTTTAAATGTGCTCTTTGTTCTAACCTGTTGTCCATGATGAAGCAGCAGATGTGATAACGCACATGGTCAGAATAGCATCAGTTGCCCAGCTCCCGATGTACACAGGATGATATCTTTCGGCACACTGACTTATGAAGGTTGGTGCTCCCTGTGACTGTGTGTGCAGCCTTATGCTGCCATCTGTTGGCGTTTTACAATACTAGCCTCAAAACTGTTTGATACCACCTGGTATCTGAGGTCCAGCCCAGGTGGCAACCATGGCTATCCCATAGATGCAGTGGAGGAATGAATCAATAGTGAATATAGAGAGTGCTCAGAAAATCAGCCGCTGGAACACTTCAAGGGATCACTGGACCTCATATCAGAAATATTATATATGTATAGTGCAGCGCTGTGATATAGTTATTAAAAATAAATAAAATTAATAAAATAGTTCATATAATCTTTGTCACAGTAATAACATCAAATATGTGCAGGTCTTCTCCTCATTAGGTGACTGGAATCAGATAGCAAAAATGCGCACTCACCAACCGCACATTTTAAATGCGCCTGTGTGTAATATCATCCAGAAGACCAGCCAGTCATGCAGCTCCAGAAAAACACCTGGGTCCCCCTCTTAAGCGCCAACATCAACCTTGGGTGTAGCAATAACTCCAGATCCAGAGATCCTCTCGCCCCCAATGATAGGTAGACCGGGATCCCCCCTCTTACTGGCTTATAGTGTATGTATGCATATGTGACCCTGGCTGTGTGTGTTGCTCCAATAAAGTTTTTGAACCTACCACACTATTGGCATTCCCCTTTTTTCCTTGACTCTCCTGTTGGAGGGTTGCAGATCTACACCTTCCAGCGTTGGGGTACCTGGAACCAGAGGGGGGATCCCGGTCTACCTATCATTGGGGGGGCGAGAGGATCTCTGGATCTGGAGTTATTGCTACACCCAAGGTTGATGTTGGCGCTTAAGAGGGGGACCCAGGTGTTTTTCTGGAGCTGCATGACTGGCTGGTCTTCTGGATGATATTACACACAGGCGCATTTAAAATGTGCGGTCGGTGAGTGCGCATTTTTGCTATCTGATTCCAGTCCCCTAAAGTGGAGGAATGAATGTAGGCATCATGTACAGAAAGTGTTTTATTCATAGGATTAAAAAAAAGAAGATGGCAAGAAGAAAACTAATGAAGCCACCACATCTAAGGACTAGTAAGCTGTAGTTAATGATATTTTGGCTGTTATTTTCACTTTAAATAAAATGTTTATGCATTCATTTGGTTTTTTTTTTTTTGTTCTTGCTATTATATGAATACAATAGTTAGAAAACGCTTTGATCTTATAATTCTGGAAGGGTTTTTGAACCCATATATCCTCTGTATACACATTTCTTATACAGTACATGATACTTGGATTGGGCTTCCTTCTCCCCTCTATTTTCTAGACAGTTGCACACCCTTGCATGGAATTATCTATGCATTTTTCTCCTATATGAAACAAATATCTTTGATTCCATGTCCTCATCTCAGTTTATGGTGATCTCGGTTGCATTGCTGTCAGTAGATTGCATTTCTATGGTAGACACATTGGATGATGGTACAAGGTCATATGATATTTATATAAACTCTTCTATTATCTCTAGGAAACAACGATAATACAGGCGTGGTGGTGGGCTGCATTGTTGGAATTATCATTATTTTGATTCCGGTCGCTGTTTTATTTATATGGTATTGCAAAAGGAAATCAGGTGAGTGATGATGTGATTGCATTGCATATAAAACAATATCAATGTATAGGCCAGACACTTTCACTGTATCCCAGCCTTACACTTTGTTTTATCACTTTTCATGTACTGATGACATTGAGCTTTATAACATAAAGCCAGTTCACAATTGTCACGTGTTTTTCTTTGGTGTAACCTAATTTTTATCTCCTTCGAGGTGTCTATTGAGGAGAGCAAAAAACTGAATTAATTGGAGGATGAGATAAAAGAATAATTGGCAAAAATGATTTACAACAAAATAAGATTTGCAGTAGTTAGAGTTAGACTAAGGGCGACAACGTCATAGCATCTCTTGCTGTATTGTTGAAATTTGCACAGCGTACTTGCACTTTATAGCAAATGTCACTGCACTGTGCATGTGCTGCAAGCAAAAAAAAAAAAATTGCGAACAGACAGAATGCTGTGGTCCTCTAAAGATGTGTTCTGACACGAAACATGTTGGATGAACTTACTCATGTCATCATCAACAGTGCCAGTTGGGAGGCTATGTGAGTACTGTGTTGGAATACAAAGGAAAACAACGTAATTAATATCAAATAAATGTTTTAAGTTATCATACAAATATGTATTTGAACTCAAATCTTTGTTATTTTGTGAAAAAAACATGGCACTGGCTATCTTGGGGGAGGTGTTGCCAATCACAGCCTGTTTCACACCCCTCCAGCTGTTTTTATTGTTTCTACTGTGCTTAGAATTACTGAGAGGTGAAGCCTCCATCAATCAACATGTAATATCCCACCCCCATTGTGTTTTCTGTTTAAGCCGACTGTACATGGGTTGAAATTTGGCCAGTTCAGCAGGGCCCAACTGACGTTTGATCCATGTATGGCCAGGCTGGTTACACAGACATCGATCTACCAATACTATACAACCAGCCTGTTGGGTTTTTCATGATTGATCGGTGCCATTGGCTAAAGCCGGCAGCACTGTTCAGTGTATTCTGACTGAATGCAATGACTCAATGGGAAGGATTGAGCAAGTTTATGAATGGGGGAATCGGGTCATTTTTTTCATTCAACCCATTCGTTGAATGAAAAAAATTAATAACACATGAGCTGCCTTAGTGGGCATGACGGAGGAGGGAGGGAGTAAGCTGTCATTTACCATGAGTGCATATGCCCACATGCGGGACTCTATAGTCATATGGGCTGCACAGAATATAGCAATAATTTGAGATGGAATGCATATTACTCTTTCACATTGCTGTCTTGTTTCATACAGATCATCAGAAGTTTATGATGAAAGATATTGAGTGTCCTATATGGAGTGATGGTGAGAAGACCACACTGAGTTGTGAAGCTTTTAACTGTACTGGGGATGTCACGATGACTTGGGTCATCAAATTTAAAGATGGCACCCAGCATGAGGTCTCCGACACAGGATCAAATGATAACGAGGAGGATCAACCACTAATGTCCAGAGAGTACCAGGTGACAAAGGAGTATGACAGTATGAAAGGACATGTGACCACAAAGCTGACCTTCATTCCTTCTATATCCAGACATTTGGGGTCCGCTGTGTCTTGCAGAATTGTTCATCAGAAGAAACCTGTAGAGAAAACGCTTGAGGTCAAGACCATTCATGGTAAATAAAGTAACCCTATGATATGTTGTGTGAGTTGTGGCCCAGTGTATTTAACACTAATAGCTTGTTGTTGCTTAACCCCTTCATGCCTAAGGGTAAAACAAATCTAAAAGCCTAAGCACAATTTTGCAACGTTCACATGTGTTAGTAAAACCGTACATATCATCACAACTACTTTGTACATCCAGGTGGATTATAGCTTGATTTTTTCAGGGCAAATTTGGCTTTCTTTTGATGGTAAATGGTAATGGACATCTCCTGATTTTTTTTTTTATTATCAAAGGAAAACTGGCCCAAAATAGTAAAAAAAAAAATATTTTTTTTTTAAATTTAGCTGTATGTTTCTTGTTACTACCATAACCTACCATCAAAGAACAACCCAAAATAAATTCTCCAGCTCTTGACGGTCGCAACGATAGCATATATGTGTATGTTATTTGTTGTTTTTACCTGTAGTACAGCCCAGAAACAATAGTGCGCATTTTGTTTTTTGTTTACCTAAAATACCTGACACTGACACTAACTGACACTAATACCACATTTAAAAAAAAAAAAAAAAAAAAAAAATCCTGACCTTTGACCCTGACCTTGGCCCAAATACTTACCCTGGCATTGAACTAGATCAAACCATGATCTAGGTATTTTTTATTTGTTTTTATTTTATTTTTAATATATATATATATATATTTTCTTTTTTTTAAACAAACATTTCCCCCCTCTATGCTAGGAGTTAGAGAGATACAATGTATCGCTCTCCTCCATTCATAGAGAGAAAAAAAAAAAAACAAGGAAGCCGGGCTGTACAGTGACTGATCACTGTGATAGCCAATCAGAGGCTATCGCAGCTATCATGTGACCCGCAATCGTTAAAATAGGACCTGGGGCTCTCAGTGACACCCCGGTCTTTGTGCTGGGAGCGCGCTGTGCGGCGCACTCCCAGCACAAAGACAGGTACGGAAAAAAGCCCAGTTCTGTGAGGCCGCATATTTGTGTTATGTTGGCGTCAAGGGATTAACATCCAAATTCTAAGCTGCTTCATTGCTCCTAACCCATTGAGAGTGTCTATGACTTATTTTCAGTCTATGGGAAACCTTCACTGCTCCTAGCCCATTCAGAGTGCTTCTTGACTTATTTTTGGTCTATGGGAAATCTTCTGACTTGGACATGGAGACAGTATTCTCACAATTAACCTCATATAATGGCATATGTAGATAAGAATGTCCAGTATTAGCTCATAGTTAGAAGCCAACCACACTTAAAGGAAAAGTACAGCCAAAGCTCATTTGGCTCTACTCCTGTGCATCACAGGTGTGCAGTTCATTCTCCACTCCTGCGACCCGTTTTCAGCCAACAGTGGGCTAAAGCCCTCTGTCTGTTGACGTCACAGTGCTGGTCCAAACTGGGCAAAGATCCAGATTTAAAGTCAGGATCTACCCAGATGCCTGGACCATCAGCTAGATCAGCCTGTCAGCAAGCTGCTGAGAGCCTGAGCCAGCCTCTCCTGTCCCCTGCACAGCCCGGGGCTCCATTCACTGCTCTCTGCTCAGAGCAGGAAGAGAACTGAGAGATCAGCAGTCTTTAATTACTCAGTTCTCAATGTAGAGCCAGTGGAGGACAGAACCAGCATCAAATCGATGCTGCATCCACCTAGGTAAGTATGATTAAAAAAAAAACATACTTCTCCTTTAAAGCCTAACTCCAGGAGATCTGAACATTCTGCTTTGCAGTGGGGCTGTTCACACACTGCTAGAGTTAACTGCTCGTTTAGGTCTGGGGGAGAGTAAAAGCACTTTTACATATGCAATTCTTTACTGCCCTGGCAGATGGCACTCCACCATGCTTTGGTGGTGAAGGTTTCCTTGGTGTCCTCACGCCTAATGAAGGACTATGGACCCTGCATAGGTCTTGATTATATCAGGACCTTAGACCACTAGAGCATGGAGGAGTAGACGCTAGGAGGACTGGTCTAGCAGTGTGAAGGAGCAGAGGATTGGGTGGGTAAACCTACTTTTCCATGCCCCCTAGACCTGAATAAGCAGTTAACCCTTGGAGTGCAGGTGCAGCCTCCCTACAAGAGCAAATTTTCACTTTTCCTGTAACTGGGCTTTAACTTGGCTCTATCCATTGAAATTTGTAGACCGAAAACTTACTTCTAATTAATTGGTGTAGGTTAGAACAGACAGTCCTTATTCTCCATCCATTTTAGATAAAACTGTTTTTCATCTCATTTTTAAACCAAGGGAAAATAGACGTTCATTGCTTCCTAGTCTGTATGTCTGAAATTCACCGCATGTTTTCTGCATATATTATTTCTTTGTAGGTGGGGTACCAAATGCTTTCAAAACCAAAAAAACGAGAACATACCTTTTAGTTTTAATTGTTTCTTGAACGCAGATTTACATTTAACTTTCTGAAATCGATGCAAGCTCTGTGCTACAGAAAATGAAAGCGCTTACACAGAAAATGCCCAAAATATTAAAAAACATAACCAGGGCTCACCGATCTGTGGAGATAGGAGAACAAGACTTTCACAGCATGTGTGCTGCATCCACAGAAGTAGAATGTCTCTCCTACGTGAAGGAAATGCCCATTTAGACATTAGTTACTGAAAGAAATGTCCTTATTGGAAGATGCCCCCTTTATTCCTGTTCTGGTGGCAACTCAAAGTTTTGGAGATGCTTTGAAGCACCAAGAATGCGACATGGGGTATGATTTTTTAAGCAAATCACACTCAATATGTACACAGGACTGTAAGCTCACATTTTTATTTAGTGACAGAAGCTCTGATTGACATTCAGAGTGCTCTAAAAATTGTGTAAATGAGTCCTTAGAGTGGGTTTGGTTTCAACAGGTGTTGTTGATAAATGTCTAAATCTATTTTTTTTTTATACTCAAACATATTGCTTATTTCTGCAGCTAAACCCAAGTTCATTGAGCCTGTACAATTTACACTATCTGACCAAGAAAAAGTACAAATATCAGTTAAACTACAGAGGTTTTATCCTCAGGAGATGGAGGTGACATGGTTCTCTAAAAGAGGACAATCTGAAGAGGAAATTCCAGGGGTCATGAATAACAATCACAATTCTGGAGATACATTTGATCTGGATAGTAAATGTACAGTTCCTGGAGAATTATTCAAAGATCCCAAATATAAAGTCATTGTGAGATGGAAACATAAATCCATGGAGGAACCACAATCCCGGGAGATTTCTGCAAGAGGTAAGGACTTAGGAATACAGTTTTTTTTAAAGTTCTGGACATGTTGTAAGCCCTACCGTGGGATTCCTTTCTTATTTAGTAATTTACCCCCTTCTATGTTTAGAGGTGCAAAACTGAAATGAATGTCAGAACCGAGAATTCTGAAAGATTTGGACACATTTGCTTATAAGCCATCATGCCATGGAATTGTATTTCCAACATAGCTTTGTAAAAGCTACACACTTCTTGACACGCAGTCTGTGTGGAAAATATGATGTCCTGCTGACACGATGGGATCCAGATAGTTTAACTCACAAGTCACTAGTTTAATGCAGACTTTACGTATACAGATGATGTTCTTCTGAATTTCCTGGAGGCCAAAAGACTGCCTGGATCCTAGTCTTCATGGTATCTTTGAAGACTGAATGTGTAATAACTGGAACACAAGGCAGCTAAGGAGTAGCACAGGCTGGGACCAAACTAATTTTTAAATTAGAACTACAAGAACATACTGTATATATATAAAAAAAAAAAACATTATAAATTTAAGACAGGTTCGTTGTGGCAGCAAACCGTATATTTTATTCAGTGATTAATTTTACTTGCTTGATGCATTAAAAAATGATATTATAACTCTCAATGGGAATATGAAAGCACAAACTTATGGTCACTTTTTTCTCAGTTTTCTTGTGTAAAGTCTAATGTATTTCCACATGTATCTTTGTCCCTTTTTCAGACCTCCCATGGCATCCAAAACTACAGAAATTCCCAATAGAGAGCATCTTCCAAGGGACAAGGTTCTCTTACAGTGCCGGGTGTCAGACTACTTTCCCAATTCTCTGGCTGTGAAATGGTTGGAGAGGAAAATGGGCAGTCAGGAGTTGGTAGAAATCTCCAGTTCTCAGAAATACAAAATTCCAGAAATCTCATCATACAGGATGGAGAACAAAACTATCTCTTCTACAGCAGTTTTATCTTATAAGAGGTTTGATTTGTCGGAGAAAGGAGTAGAGTTTTATTTGCAAAGTGGAACATCCAACCCTGGATACACCCATCCAGACCAGTATAGTACAATACAGAGATACAGGTAATTATTATTATTTTATCATTTAATGCGTAAAGTCGGGAGCATTTCCCATTCCCACAAACCAGTAATGATTACTTTGGGTCTAATTTGCGACATAGTGATCAGAAACATCCACTCATATGCAGAAGTATTACAACAACAGAGCTTCCCTTTTCCAGGATTTGATGTTTTCATGCACTTCTATTCATACTTTAGGTGCTTTGGAAAGTCAGCAACCTTCAGTTTTGTCCCTAAGGGGCCTAGACCCCACACAAGAAATTCTGAAGGACCCTCTGCACACTGGTATATACCCTTTCAAGCAGACTATGCAATAAATAGGGATATTTAGTTCACACATATTGCAATACATGCTTAAGCTGGCCAACTGCGTCAAAGTAATCCCTCTATGGCCAGTCCTACTCTGCTCTGCCTACGCAATGCTACTGTGGACACAATGCTAACATAGGGGAAAAGACACAATGGGGAGAACTACAAGGTTCAGGTCTGGCTACTGACCCAACAATACAACAAACAAGAGATCCCTGTGCTCAAATCCCAAAATCTAGTGCATGCATTTATCCATCAGGT